GTGGTACCTATGGAGAGGGCTTTAAAGATCGTTTCCAGGGAATAGTGCAGAGGTCTGCTAACAGATTCACTCTGAGGATTCGAGCAGCAAAGCCGAAGGACACAGCCGTGTATTACTGTGCTGCTGATCTCACAGTGCAGCAGCTCTTGAACAGGGTGGAACAAGAACTGGCTGCGAGGGAGTCCAGACAAGGGAGCGTTTCCTTCCAGCAGCCACAAAGCAGAAGAGCTGCTACCCCAACCAGGCCTTTSTGCTGMTTGCAGGGAGAGGATGCCAAGGAGGGAGGTGTTTTGGGGGACGTGAGGGTCTTGCTGAGGCAGAGCTGAGCTTCCGTGGGAAGTCCAGAGGTGGGAGGGGAAGTGCCTGTTGCCTGAGCACCCTGTCCATCGTGGCGCAGCTTTTGCTGGGTGCTCTGGTGCTGCTGCCAAGGCAGTGGGTGAGTGTGGGGCTTTCCTGCCCCTCTGCCAGCTGTGTCCATGAGTGACCTACTTGCCTGGGCATGAGGGTGTCTGGGAGAGCGTTGTGCCTCCACCGTGAGGAACCGATCAGCCCTTTCCTCTCAGTGTTCCTCCTGATTTCAGGCAGAGCCATGGAGGAGACCTTGGGCTTCCTGTAAAATGTTTGAGCTGCAGGCTGGCTTACCAGGAATTGCACCTGCATGAAGTTGTCAGCAGGCGCAGACTTTGCTAGAGAGAACCTGCCTTTCCTGTGAGGTGTGAGAATTCACAAAGGGGCTCTGTGGTGGTTGCTGAAAAGAAACTAAAGCAGGAACCTGCTCTTATCTCCTTCCCTTCTCCTCAGGTTCCCCCCCACACACAAAAGGGAAATTGGTGCCCAGGAAGAAGCACCAAGAGCCCTGAGAGCATCTCCCATGCAAAGTCCTGSTTCAGTGAAGGCTGGATGCTTCAGGTCCCTAGGAATTCCCTCAGAAATGCAGCCTGAAGAGCTGATCTGTAGAGCAGRCTTTTAACTGCACCAAATAAAAAGAMTTYTCTTTYTTCCTCTCTTTGTTCATTTTTCTGTCTCTATGTGCATATAGGCACGTGTATAAGCCCATATGCTACTGAATGTGGATTGATGACTCCAACCCAAAATGTGGCAGGGAAGGATGAGTGCTGGGGCAATCCTGAAGCTTCTTCTAGGGAGAGCTGGGCTACCACAGCCCTTCATGGGGTGCTCCTTGTGCTCCTGGCAATGCAATTGTGCCCTCCGTCCCCCTCTGCTCCCCTCCGTGCTGTGCAGAAGCATGCGCGGGGCTGCAGCGGCCACAGGGCTCCGTGCAGCCTCGCATCCCGCAGCGCTGCAGCGTGGGGAGCGGGCGGCGAGAGGGAGGCAGAGCAGCCTCCGCGGGGCTGCCCTTGGCCGGGCGCCGCGGGGCTGAGGAGCCCGGCCCC